AACATGCACATTTTGAGTAAAAACTTGAAAGGCTCTTCCCAGACCTGCCTTTATTTTTTCCTTACCTATAGCAAGACTTCGAAAGCTTTGGTTCCCAATTTCTGTTTCAAATCTGTTTTTACTAAGTAGTCCCAATATACAATTACATTTTCCAGTCATTGTGGGTTTTGTACTAGTTGAACTTGAATAAATCTTCCCTGATTTAATTCATGATATCCTCTTTAAAAAAACCTATCAACCTACCAAGCAAAACAAACACCAAATAATTATTTTATCTACTTGATATTTCTACTGTTACCCATTTTCCATTTTTCTTACAAATGGAATAGTCTATAAATCTATAAAATTTTTGTTGAAATACTCAGACACAAATGTTCTGATGCCTGACACTTGGAATAACAGGAGTTCCTATTTAGGGTTTCAGCAATACCAGGAAAAGTCCATTTACCATTTCTTGTGACAGTGCCATCTCTCCTGACTCTCTCAGGTGTCAGTGACAAGTTGAGAGACAATAAGTCCAAGGACTTTTAATTATCTTTTGATGTTTTTATGGAACAAATACAGGACCCATGCAAATAGTCCCATGTATATGAATAATGGGGAATAAAATCTGAGACAGTATACATCACTTTTCTATTGGGCTTGTTTTGATCTCCCCGTTCCCAATGAAGACTCAGAATTCAAGATGTTAAACCTTGACAAACCAAGATGATTATTCTACGAGTATGGTTTTTTAGATAATTTTTGCTTATAATATTGATGATGATATCCACTTCATGACAGCCAAATAGGTGTTTGGATCAGGCTAACAGAATGCCACAAATATAGTTCCCTCATGTATTCATTTAGTCATTTGCAAATTTGAATGAAGCTGATAGTATCACTGTTAAAACTAAAGCCTTCCTCATCAGTAAAGAAGTTCAGAACCTGGCTCAATATCAATTTGATATTGACATTATACTGTTATTTAGCTTCTAGTATTTGAATACTTGGTAGTGTCACTATATTTTCATTTAGCTTTGACCTGATTGGGTTTTTTTTTGTCAAAAGATTTTAAACCAAGGCAATGGGGTCCCAAGGCATAAAATATTGTAATGAGGTTAATGAAGGAAGTATTTTCTATCAGTTCCAAGATAACACAGCAAATGCGTTCAAAATACCGAATTACAAAGCAGAGAAGGAAAGTGGACAATCTACAACAGTAGATTGCAAGTGGACAATCTACAACAGTGTCCTGCCCTGAAAAAGGAGGAAAGACTATATGCTTCCTGTTAGAGGCAACGTTTGTTATAAAGAGATATTTTTCACCTGATCATTCACAAAATTCACAACAGCACATGGGCACTCAGAACATTCAATTAGTTGAGAGAAGCAAAAAAACTGCACCCAGAACTCAACAACAACAACAACAAAATTTAATCTGTACTGCTTGGGGTAGAGGAGAAGAGAGAGAAGTTGGAAAGAGAGGCATCATACATTAAAGTTTTACTAATTTACATGTTTCCTTAGTATAACACATAACTGGGTTTTTTTTTATCTCAAATTTATAACCTTCAATATTGTTTTATTTCACTAAGATTAAACTCGTATCTGTGACAAAAATGCTACTAACACTGTTCCGTGCACTGCCAATGTGTATAATCCTTTTTGATACAAATTATTTTCATGGCAGCTGAATGATGGAAGCTGATGATGACTTTCTCTTGTAGTCTGGTTTAGGTCAAGGGAAATTCAGGTGATGACATTTAATATGAAACCAACTAAGTGTGAAAGGTTATAAGTGAAAGATCTTTTTTCCTGCAGCTTCCTTATAGGCAAACAAATGAATAATGAATTCACTGTAACATCTTCATTTGATCTACTCAGCTGTAAAATATGAACATTCTTAAATCTGAAGTCACTCAGACATCTAACACATGCTAATGAACCAACTTGGTTTCTGGAGATGCAATTAAAATCCTCATCTTTATCTATGCAGTCCAGGTTATAAAGGCTGATACCAGGCTGCAGGACTACATAATGCAAAAAAGCTAGCTAAACAGAAATGACGACATGGAAATAGAAAGCAGAAAGTCTGAGAAAAAATCTTGCCTTGCAGCAGGAACAATGATCAATGATCAGTCTGCCAAGACACAAAAGCAATCAAAACAGAATCAAAGGAGAAAGAGAAACAAAATTAGCAAAGCTCTTCATCCCTAATGATATGTAACAGTGCTTATATTTCATGTTTGAAATCTCACTTGTTTTTCTTCTACAAGAATATGCTATATAGAAATGACAGCACGAGAAAAAATAGCAATGTAATGCCATCACTGGGTTTTTTCCCTGCACTGGGATTCCCACTGCTGCCTCACCATCAATGCCATTAAGTACATTACATGCATCTACTGTATTAGAATAGGTAACTGGTATGCCATATTCATGGAGCTGCTGACTCTGAGATTGGGTGCTGAGTTATGTTTTGGATGGCTGGTACCTAATGCTCTGCCATGAATGCATGAACACAGAAGGCGCTAAATTATGCACAAAAAATACACAAATATAAGCACTGAATGCATGAGCAATCCGTTGACTAGAATGTCTAGTTTCTCATTCCACTTAGAGAATGTATTTCTTCTGAATGCTAATAACTTACAGAGGTGATTACTATTCTGATCAGTGTTTTTTTAGGGTGCAGCCAACAAAGGCTAGAGTTAGCTTAAAACTCTGCTAGGCAATTATTGGAGAGAATGAGAAGAATTTCATTTAGCTACATCAAAACATCCTTCTAGACAGTGGCTGTCTGTGGCCTGCAATATTAAGATAAACTTTCAAGTACTTAAGTATACCTTTTGCAAAGGGCTGCTTATTAGGAACTGATTTTTTCTTTCCTCTGGTGTCATTTACCAGCAACTTTAAAGAATTAATTAGTGAAGAAATGGACAGAATTACATTTTCTCAATTCCAAACAGGCAGTGCCTGGACTAGACAAGGTCTGTAGACCCAAGATAAAACTAAAAATCCTGCTAAAATTACTGTGTGCTATGTACTAATTGCCATCAGGTAAAAGCATTGGTGTTAATGTAGGTTGAAGTTACATGTGAGAAGTGACTCTATAATTAGAATGCTATACATTGCTTGAACTGCAAAAAGCCTACTCTACTTATAGAAATGACGGACAGGGTAAAAGAATAAATATATATGTTTTGGTAAGCCTCCAGAAAAGAATGACTGCTGCCAAGAGGTTCAAGTTACGTAATCATTGCAATTATAGGTATCCAACCATATGAAAAAGACATCAATGCCAACACAGTATAGCATTAGGCTTTATGGTGCCCTCCACCCTGTTCCAAGCTAACACATGCTGAAATATTTTCATTTTGAAATGGAGCTCATCCATGAACTACTGAAATATCAACTATTATCCAGTTACCTCTGTAAGATACTTTTACTGATTTAAAACCAGTCTGGATGATAAATCTTCTGTCCTCCTCTGTAATGTCTTTCTATATTACTGAACTCTTCTTGAACCCTCACATTTATAGCATTTTTTAACTCATTGCACAGAGCCTTTGAAACCCTAGCTTTTTCCACCTTCCACCTACAGTCCTGCAGCCTGCTTCCCCCTTGCAGCTTCCTGCCCCTTCACACAAGCTTCTAGGACAGAGTACCTCAGAATGCTTGCAGCAGTGTTTTTCTGTAACACTCCTGTTTGTTATTCACCTCCTGGGTTTGAAAACCCTTCTACTATTGTTGGCAGGGTCCCAAGGGAAGTGATTACCACTGATGTTAGAATCACCATTCCCTTCTCCCACTTTCTGATTTCTATGTTTGGTTGAAGTTTCTGGCTTATGATGTAGGCCACATAATTGTGTTTGCAGAAAGCTCAGCAATGAACCAGCTGTGCAGCACTCTGTCTAGCCAATGTGTGCTCCCTGCAATGGTAACAGTACCATGAGCACAAACAACCCATGAGAACTTCAAGTACCTCTTGACACAAAATACTGTTACTGTAGAAAAAGTTTGATAGAGGAACTGCCACTGATGGCTAAATACTTGTTTGCCTTCCTAATTGCTGCTGCTGATTTTTCTCATTTCTCTTTCTCCCCATCTTTCACTTCTTCTTCTCTTCTGTTATTTTTTTTTCCTTTTGCTCCTTCCTCTCCAATAACATCCACTGTTAGAACTGATAAATGCTACCAAATATGGACCCACTAGTAAATCTTCATGCAACACACCATGAGCTGTTGCTACACTTTCTATCACTTTCTTTATCTTATTAAAAAACTAATTATTATTTTTTATTTCCCTTTACATATAGCACATATTTTACTATAACTCTTCTAATAATATAATCTAGTTTTATTATTTGAATAGTATCATGATATTACCAGAACAATATCTGTATGTTTCAGTGCTTTACTTTCCTAATTTTACTTTGGTCTGCAAGATTGAATTTGAAATACCACCAATAATTTTGTATTCTGTTATTGCATGTGCCATTGTAATTTTCCTAGCTACCAGCATGTGCACAAAAAAAAAAAAAAAAAAAGTTTCTCAAGCAAATCCAAATCCTCATTGATGCTAAATAATGGTGAATCTATACCATTTAAAACTGAGAACTGAAAGCTGTTGACATACATTACCGGATGATACAATCATATTCATATTGCTACAGAGGAAGTGACTCTTTTCATCACCCCATAAGATTTCCAACATGATTAAAAAAAAAAAATTAAACAACCCCCAAAATTATTGTGATCAGAAAAATTAAAAATTTTCCAGAGCATAAAAAAATACCAAATAAATGTCATGATTTTGCAGTCTCATAGTGAAATAAATAGTTCCTATATAGAAGTAATTTTCATGGTGCAGACACTTTTAACTCGTGGTAACCTAAAAAAACCCCTCAATTTTTACACCTATAAAGAAGACGGACAAACATACATGAAGGAAACAAAACACTGACATTAGTAGTAACTCAGGCACAATATTATTAATCTTGCATAAATTTTCCTTACCCTGGACCTCTCCTCTAGTTTTGTCATCATGACGACTGTTGCACCTTGTTGTTCCCACATCATCCTCCAGAAGTCACCAAAGGTTTCTGGCAATGCCCCCTGCGTTGCTATATAAGCATTCTGCTTCCTGTATCCATCTATGTAATTGGCATTGATATAGTCGCTGCCTGGTATGCCTGCAAAGAGAGGAGAGTGAAAACACAGGGCAGAGTTCCTGTGCCGTCCTGTTTTGCAAGGGCTGAACAATCCCGTGACACTGGATTTGATGAATCTTGGCTTGCTGTGTGACAAATAGTGCATGGGTACTTACAAGTGAGTGTAGGCCATTTGTGGAGTCAAGAGGCATGGTGGTCTCTCTGGGAATAGCTATTCTTTTGAAACAAGAGACTTTGTGTGATAAGAAGTATAAAATAAGCCTGAAAGTCTGTATCAGGCAGAGAAACCTGGGGGTCAACATAGCAGCATTCAAAAGCTTGTCGGATGCTGCTTGCAGACACCCAAATATGGCAACGCTATCTGGGACAGGCCCCCTTGAGGATTCTCAATCAGGCATCCTGAGTAGGTTCCTCAAACATTCTTGTTGAGGTCATTGTATTTCCTTTAAATACAGACGGAAAAAAAAATGTCATCAAAACTATTGATATCACTGCCATATTCATTTTCTTCATTAAATGCGAAGATAATTATGAGTTTTATTGCAACAAAACACATTATGTATGTCAGATTTAAGAAACAGTGAAATTTTCTATATGGTGCATGCACGAAATAAAGTCCTTTGCAAGACTGAATAAGAATTAAAAGCATTAAACGTAGTGGGATCCAAGAGTTGTGTGCACATGGGACCTACAGCATTACTTACTTTGGACAAGACTTATACAGGAACTTTGGCTGTGTCTACCAGACAAATGTCCATTCTTAGAGCCCCATAGGAAGCAGGCCAGTTCCTAACTGCAATCTACATAACACAGGGTATGCCATAGGATGCCTGGACTTGGAACATGCTGCCTACCTAGGCCAAGGAGGTGTATTGACTGTAGCAAAGTCACATTACTAGTCTGCACTAATAAGGCAGGCATGCTCATGGAAATGGATAAAAATGGCCTTAAAATTCTCAGACCACTGCTGAATTCAGCAGTGCGGTGCTCAGCTTTTAGCTCAGACTACATGTGTGTTGAACGATAAAGCACTGAGGGAACCATTTTTATGTCACTGCTGTTGCTTTAACAGATGACTAGAGAAAGAACTACGATACTCATGTGAGATCTCAGTGCTGGCTGAATGGCTAAGCAGTGTTAATTAGATGAATATAGTTACCTGCAACTTAGTAAGTTTTGTTGAAGTAATTGACAGAAGTTAAGCATTTGAGCAGAAGTTAAGCATTTGAGCAGAAATGAATGACTTATATTTATGCAGCCAATTTCCATGCACAAGTCTACAACCCCAAGAAATGGTTTAGGTTCCACAAACTCTTTCAATAGAGAGTCAAGGTGGTGATTCCAGCTCCAGTTTCATTCTACAGCCATGACTGTTTTATCTCCACAAAGCAACAAAATTGAGTTTCTTTGGCTACGAAGCAGAATAAATTGTAAATAAATATTTCCTGAGATCTTTGTCTGAAACAAAATCTTCAAATTGATTCAAATGCATTATCTCCTGCTGGTGATCCCAAATCAGGAATTACTGGAGCTGCACACTCCTGTCTTTCCTGGCTATAAGCAGTACACATCTGAAAATGTCTTCCAAAATATTTTGAATTTGAATGGAAATTAGGGGTACCTCTTTAAAATTGACTGTTGCTTTTAAGCTAAAATTTTAATTCTTTCAACACTCATTCAGGATAAACCTGAATGTTTCATTCCACTACTTACTTAGTAGTGAATGAACCCATAAACTGAATGTCACAGTAAGTGAGATCCAATATAATCTGGAAATTATTCAGGTTATGGGTTACTGCAGCTATAGTCTAGCAAAAAAAAATTTACCTTCATGCTTGATAAAGTTCCATATATGTTCTTGTTTCATATGTTCAAATCATATTTAAACTAAATTTTTGTTTTAACTTTCCAGACACAATTAGAAGAAAAACCTGACAAAATATTTCAGAGATAGAAAGACGTTGTAACTTTAGGGTTACAAGAGAGGCAGAAAATGGCATTCCTCAGGCAAGATACAAGAATGGACAGGGAGACTGTCTGACTGATTCCACTTGACTGAAAGCCTCTTCCAGGAGAAAAATAATACAAAATATAAAACATGCTAACCTGCATAGTCTACAGCTGAAAAGCATGATTTCCTTCCATGAAAGGCAGAAAGTGGAGCTCAAAAGCTACGCTCTTGTAGACCTGAAGCTGTTTTACGTGACACTTCTTATTGTTGATATTGGAATTAATTATATAGAAAATATAACTGCTAGGCAGAATGCTGTATTCTCTTCCTTTATCAAGATAATAAAACTTCTTTTCACAAAACAGATGAGAAAGAAGAATGAAACTAACAGGAGAAATCTACACCAACTGTGTATTATTACCAAAGGAACTGAGAAAGCTGGTAACAAATGTTTTCTGCATAAATTAGAATTATATTATGATGCCTGGTATCATACTTTGAAGCACATGTTAGAAATAAAAGCCTGAGGAAAAAATGAAAAACAACACTTAGTAAAGTGGTTAAATGATCTTCTGGGAAAGCTGTCCTCTGGAACTAGTAATGCACAAACTCAGTGTGAAAATTAAGGATGAGAACTACTGCAAGCTGTTCCCTAAAGAATGATCTTTACAAATTTTAGCAACTAATACTAGTACCTGATGTAAAAAAATTCAGAATACCTAAAATTGTAAATTCTCCTTCTACTTGCTAATTTGTATTCAATTTATTGACAAACTATATTAAAATATATAACTTCTAAATTAAATAAATTCTAATTCTTTAAATTAGAACGAAGAAAATCTTCCAGATTGTATCTTCCTTCATCTAAGATTCAATTACTGACAAATGCAAAGAAGACCTCTTCAAATATAGACTAATTTGGAAATTTTCACTGTGTTTCTCCTCTTTATTTCTGTAAAGTGGACATGAAAAATTCTGTATGTCCTTTAGCTAGAAAAATTATTTAGGCAAGTCAGGTTCACTGCATCAAATGAGGATATACTTGGGACATGCACATGAAAATCCATTTACCACAGGCCCTGAGCAACTATTCATGAATTAAACAATGAAGTATTCAAAAAAAAAAAGAAAAAAACAAAAAAGACAAACAAAAACATGTTGCTCCAATACTTGCACTGAGATTCGCATTAAGGATTTATCTCTAGCAGAATACAGTACTCAATAGTACTGTACAGTACTCAATAATACTTGATCTGCTGAGATCAAGAGAACAACTTCATTCAGAATGCTCAGCTCCATTGTCTCTAACTCACACAGTATCCATTAGGGATGTTCTGTGTTCTCCATCCACTCTCACAGTCCCTTTAAGTATCATGCCCATTTCTCACAGAGTCTCTTTTCATCACTCTCTTCATGCATGACCTCAGTTTCACATCATGCTCCAAAATCTTTAAAGCCCTCTAGGGAAGGTGCCTCATGATAAGAGGACTAATGAATTTGTTAAAAATAACAAATACAAAACTTGAATATCTGTAAATATCTACAATGACAAAGAATAAAAATTCATCAAAGACAAGTAAATCTAAATATTAAAATTTCCCTTTATGAAATTACTTTCTGGCCATAACCTCATTCTGAGCTGATAAAACGAAACAATTTTGTGTCAAGTCCAATAGTGCAAAAACAATCAAATGACAGCCACTCTGACTGCAGTACAATGAAATCCTCCAAACTTTTGTTGGCTGCCATAGCTTGAAGGCAACATACCCACAAGCACAGCAGCAATTGCCATCATTACTTAAATTTGAGTTTCATAGTTAAGAGAGGTCAGTTGTTCTGTAAAAGCATGGGTCAAGAAAGGGACAAAGCAACCAAATTCTGTAATATTGATAGGAACTTTACGTAAGTCTTTTGGCATGACTGTGATTTACTGTACTTTTAGGATGACATACCTGAAGTATAAATTTAGGGTAATCTATGCAGTATAACCTGACTTTTATAATTTTCATGAAAGCAGAGACATAGTTTCTGCACAAGAAGTCAGTTAAAGACCAAGCTCCTGAACCATGATTCTAACATAACTATTTTCTAGTAGCATTTTCAACTATGGTGATGAATGACCAGAGTCTGCAATCTCTTTATTTAGCCAGACAGGAGTTAAGCACAATGGGAGAAGAATCAGATGAGTAGTTCAGCACAAAAGACAATCCACTTTTAAATATCTCAACATAGTACAGAAGATAAAGTACAGAAGATAAAAAACCCCATGAACTGTATTTATGCTGAGAACTCATGAGCTGAGATGACAATACAGCTTACTGCAACATAGACTCAGATCCACAAGGCTAATAATGAAGAACTTAGGAATGATTCACTTGATTTCCTGAAGAGAGTTATAATGTTAAATAACTTTAATTAGACTTCACATTTTATTCACAAACTGAAATCAAATAATGAAATTATTTCAAGCCTTTACAAAGGCTGAGTACTGAACAGCTTTTCTATTTAAAATAAATTAAACTATAAAGCTTTTTTCTGCACTGCTTCCCTAAGATATGTGCTTTTAGTCATGTGCATAAATAGTGTGAAGTAATAGGATTAAATTCTGTCATGCTTGTAAACAAGTTGGAAAAATACCATGATGAACTCAGTGTTGATGAAGTTGTACTACTGGTTTAAATCAATGTCTGGTGTTTTCAACAATGCCAGAGCAAAAACCACAGGCTGGTTGTGCATGTGTGAACAAAACAGTGCGAAAAATCTAATTTATGTAAGAGGCATGCACCAGGTCAACTATAAAAGGATGCAGATCAGGCCCCTTGCTACCCTCTTTTTTTTTCATCTCTTTCTCTTTTGCTTTTGTTGTCACACCACCCTCTGCACCGGCCACATGGAAGGAACAGTGTGGAATCTGGGGTATTCTTTGTTCTCTCTCTCTCTTGCTTTGTCTGATCAAACCACACCTCTTAGTCTATCCCATACTCCATACAGAACTTTATTGCAGGAGTGCGGTGATTGTGGACCTGTGCTGTGGCTTGCTAGCCAGCATCTTTGAGGGGTTAATTTTAGG